CACTGGTGAAAGTCACTAATGATATTCTCATGGCTTTAGATAATGGACTTTTGTCTGTGACTGTCCCTTTAGATCTCAGAGAGTTTTAGATTTGCTGTAAAGATTAACGGAAAAGCACTAGGTTGGTTTAAATGTTATTTTTCAGACAGTTCAATTTGTTCAAATTAAATGACAAATCTTCCTTAAACTCCATGGTTAACATAGGAGTACCCCAGGGTTCAATGACTTTAGCCAGTTCTGCTATATATACTTCTAACAGGTGAAATGATCAGACAGTGTCAGATACATTTCCACTGTTGTGCTGTTTCCCAGTTTGTACCACTTTGCATTCACAAACAGCCATCTCACCTTCTTGCTTCTGACCTCGTCAACCGTCCTGTCTGGCCACAGAAAGTGAGAACTTTGCAGCATAACAGAAGGTTCAAAAAGGCAGAATCCATTGTAAAGGATAAGCCTTTTAGAACTAAAGAACTGTTTATGACTGGTTGCAGTTCTTTTTAGAATGCATAGTTTAATTGACCTATTTATTTATTTTATTTTTATTTTTTAGCTTTGTTCATTTAGACGGTGTCAGTACACAACCATTAAAAGGAACATTAAAAGACAAAACTGTCCAACTCGTATCCAAACTGATACTATCCAAAACTTTTCTCACACAGACCAGTTCAGTCAACCATTGTTCAGTCATTGCCATGATAAACACAAGTAAAGCATTTAATTCCAAACTTTCACACAGTGGTTAGTCAATATTCTAATTAAGTGCAATTGGTGCAAATCTCTGAACTAATCCAAAACTAGCACCGTATACAAAATAATATGATTAATGTTATTCAGCATGCATAAGTATATGAATATATTAACAGTGATAATGAGGCAAATAGAGGATCTTTATTAACAGTCAGGGAGAAACAACTTACAGACAGTTAAGTGATGTTTTGATTAATTCAACAATGCATTGCAACAATACCACAAAGTCCAAAATATAATTAATATTAATCTAATTTATTTCAATGTAGTCCGCTTCTTCAGACAAACTTAGATCAAATTATATAAAAT